AACTAAAATTGGAATCAAATACAAAAGATAAAGATTTGGAAGGAATACAACCCTTATCACATGAGCTTTCTTCCTTGCCTTCTTCATCCTCCATCTTCTTCTTCATCTAGCTAATAACAAGAATGGATGAACTATCCTACTCTATACTAAGCTAAACTAACACTAGGGAGATGAAAGAGCTACATTTCTGCAGTTTCAAGCTCTCCCGTAGCTCACTCTCTATTTTTCTGCTATGAACTCCCAATCTTCTTCTTCTTGCAATGAATTTGGCTCTTTAATGATGAAAGGTGGTCAAGAAATGAGGATTACATCCCCCTTTTACAGCTGGGAATGTTTCTCACATGTCTAGCATCCAATGTGAGTTGGTGGAGGTGAAATTGAGTTTTACGCGTACAGAGCAGCCTTTTCTGACCACAATCCAGCCAGCGATCCGAGCTGCTACAGTACCTCGGATCCGTATGGATCCGAGCTCGGTTCCACTAACCCAGAAACAACCGAGGGTTCGGATGAATAGTGGATCCGAGTGTGGATCACTTGCTCTGTTTTTGGCCCAACTTCAACCAATCTTTTCTTGATGTTAGAGGCTGAACCAGCTCATGTCTAAAACACGAAAGTTGTAGCCTTTTGAGTTATCTTTCTAATGCATCAAGAATCACCTCATTTGGATCTGTGTAGGCTGAGATATGACTGAAATACCCTTACCTGCTCATTGCCCTGTTCCAGCTTCGACCAGTAGAAATTTACTATTGTAATTCGGCATTTTGACCTGGAAAACCTTCAAACTGGATTTAGATGTCTTCACCAAAGTTGTAGATCTATCTCTTATCTTCAAATGGCTTCAAGAATCATCCCAATCCGATCATTGTAACTCAAGTTATAGCCGAAATACGAAAATGTGTCAAAACTGTCAAAATACACAAAATCCAAGTAAAAAGTGATAAAAACCTCATTTAATCACTTAAAAACATTTATTCACCAATTATAGCCAAAATGATTCATATTCTTCCAATAATATAACCAAAGTGACTAAAAATAATATAAAATGTCATACAATTATTACGTAAATTAGTCACTTATCATTGATCTCACAATGTACTTACTTTACTTGAAGGGTATCTTTATACTTCTAGATGATAATTAAATAATAAGTTTTATGGATTTTGCCAAGTTTTTTGCCAAGTTTGTTTGTTACAAGTTTTTTAAAAACTTTAGCTACAGTAATTTCAAAAAACTTTTCAAAATTTTTAAACTATACATTTCAAAATATTCAAAAAAAAAACACACTTCAAAATTTTTTTTAAAAAACTTCTACAGCAAGTTACAGTAAAGTTTTAGACAAAAACCCACAAAACTCACCTTCCAAATGGGGCCTATGTTTGGCACTGCTACTCTCATTCTTCAGTTTTTCCTTTTTATTGTACAGCTTTTTTTTACCTTTTCATATACTATTTTCCATTTCTTTTGCATGTGCTTACAAAACGTCAACCTGTTTCTTCAATTGAAGCTGGCTTCTCTGTTTGGTGTGTATCTTTTGCTCCAAGAAGTTGGTATCTTCTATTCTTAAGTTTGTCTAAGAAACCGAATTCTGTGTTGCCCTTTTTTTTGTCACAAGGATTTTGATTTTGTTCTGTTGTCGATTATACTACAAGATCCATGTCTCACTTTAAAAAGTTTCAAGCATTGATCATCTTAATTGCCATGTATTTGCTTTTTGCATGATTATTTAGTCTATTTCTCTATTGCTGATAAGAAAAGAAAAAAAAAATATAGCACCTAACAAAAAAGTGTATAAATAGTAGAATAGAGCTACATGATGTAATTGATAGTTTTCTTTCTGTTAGAAAAGTAAAAGCCTTGATATGATAAGCATGAATGTTGGTTATCTAGAAACCTTTGGATAATAGTCTTCTGTTTTTGCCATGGATTATGTGATCAAAGAAAATTCTAATAGTATTCCTACTGTGATTCCTCAATTTGATCTGGGTCAAATCATGAGGAAAAACGATTGTACAAAAGATGCAGTTCTTAGATAGAAAAAAAAATGATTAGATAGAGCAATAAGCCTCATAGCCTAGAAACTTTGCCTCCTGGTATTGCATCTCCTTCGCCACTTGTAATATGATAGATTGTTCATTGCTTCAACTTTTGGTATGAATCAATATCAACTTTTTTAAGTAAAAAATGACAAGTAACATCTGTAATTTACCTGTAGTATTTGTCAGATTATCTTGCACATTTATACTGTGTAATGAGAAAAATCTTTTATGAACATTTTCTTAAGGAGAAAGTGTATGCTGACATGACATGCTTTACATAACTTTTAGCCAATACAATCACATTTTTTCATGGTTCACCTCCAACCAATAAAGTTTTTATGTTACCTGGACATAGCAAGAGAGTGCAACTTTGTTTACTTGTTGATATTTAGCAAGGAACCAAATCCAAGGAAAATACTATTCTCACGTGAAATAGAAAACTGCTTTTAGTTTTTAAATTTGTTCATGTTGCTCCTTATGTTTCTTTGCTAGAGTTTTATTTAATATATCTAAATCCACCTGCACAAAAGCATTTTGGATGGAAATTCATACTTGATAAAAATTAGAGATTAGCAAATGTGTTCTACAATCATGTACTGTTTGACGATGCACTCTTATTTTTATCAGTTGTATTTCACATAGTGACCCTTTAATTCAGCCTATAATGAAACCATTTAACCAGTTAACCAAAATCAGAAAAATATGCTTTATTACCATCAACAGGGACCTTTACATAATATAAAACATGATGACATTTCTCAAACTTTACAATATGTCAGATATATGTAGTTCATAGAATTACAATTAAGTACTTTATTTGCAAAATATAGGGTATTGACTTTTTTTTCCTGAAGTTGTGCAATTAATAACCGTCCAGTCCTGTACTTTGTCCATCATTTGGACTAAGGTTGTTCCCGCAACGGATCTTCTGTCCCACACCCCGTGCTACTCTCTGTCCCACTTTTTATTGTATTGCTATTTCTCCTACATAAACATCATGTTTTAGTTCTTTTTTATTTTCTTAAGATCCAATAACTTTTAATTGAGTAAAAAATAAATACAGTAGCTTCAAAAAACCAATATATAATAGAAAATTAAAAAATATGGCAGGAAATTCATAAAAAATCTCATTTTTTATGCATTTTGATTTTTTGAGTTTGTTAAATTTTGTGTATTACTTAATTAATAGTTATTGGATCTTAAGGAAACAAAAAAGAACTAAAACATGATGTTTATAGAAGAGAAATAGCAATATAATAAAAAGTGGCACAGAGTGTGTGACAGAAGATCCGTTGCGAGTTGTTCCTTGATTGCTGCGAAAAAACCGCGCTAAATACAACAAACCAGCCTCTCCAAAATCTGCTCATATGACTTCCTCAAGAAACCATGTGAAGCAAACTATACAACTTCATATCCTCTTTTGTTCATCATATATATTCTTGAAATTCTTGGTTGCTATTTTTTGTCATCATATTAGAATTCATTAACATTCTCTCCATCACTAGAAGTTAATGGATCCTAATATATGATATTAAGTAATTAAAATAAACTTTAAATTAGACAATTAGCATGCCAATGTATCTCTACTTGGGACCTAATTCTGCTGGAAGATGTGTAATTGCAACTAAAATAGCTTGACAGCTACATATGAATGATAGTTAGGGTGTTATTAGGCTATCTTTATAGCCATTGTGTACCTGTTTTTCCAACTAGAATTGTTGTACATGCTTATCCAATGACTATATTTTTGGGAGGGCCAAGGCTGTGCATTGCACAACATGTTTCCTCTAGTATTGTGCTAGAATGAAATAATTTTTAAGAAGTAAAAATAAAATGAGAAATCCGTAATGATCAACCGATCGGAGCACATCGATTAGGAAATAGGCGGACACAGGACAATGAGTGTAAATGGATTGTTTGGTTCGTGGTTGAGTAATTGGCAGCGCATAATAAGTTGTAAAATTTCATATGGAAAGGTAGACAGTAGGGCGAGCAATGGTGCAAATTTGGTAAATTCGGTGCAATGAATTTGTTAAATTCGGTTATTTGATTGGTAAATCTTTAAACCTATTTGGCGATTTCAATTTCGAATCGGGGGTAACCAATTTCATTTCACTTCCAAATTAAATTCAGAAATGGTTTGCTAGAGGTAGGTCCTATAATAGATGATGTTAAGGAGGCAGTGCTAGACACTCAGATTATTGATCTCAATTGGGCTCCGAGGTATTGTAATAAAGATGCAGACACTTTAGCACACTGCTAAATCGGGCTCTTTAATTGATTCCATTTGGAAATTATCTCCAAACTTTGTAAAACAATTTGTGTTGAATGATTTCCAACAAATTTAGTAGTAACATTTTGTATGTTTCTTATTAAAAAAATTTGAAAATGGTAATGATAACGGGTTAACCATTTTCAAGAGAAGGGAAATGGGAAATCAAAGGCGAAAAAGAACCGTCCATCAGCCCATAAAATCTACTTTTTGGGTCTCACAGTCTGAGTTCTTCCATTGCAAGGAGATAGCATCGACAACGAGTTCTGCGGTCTTTCTATCTTTTTCTCTGCAGTCTTTCCTGGTAAGACTAATAACTCCTCTTTTTTTTAAGTCTAATTTTTTTCCTATCAGTAGTAGACAAATTGGATAATTTGTATACTTTTGGCCCAATTGGTAATTTCCTTCTGGGTATTACTTTCATTGAAAACTTTTTTTATGGCTTTTCTTAGGGTTCATAAGGGCACTGAACAATTTGCTTGAAATGGAGATCGGTTCCTTTTATTCCTTCACTATATACGCAGATTTTTGTGACTAGTTTTGTTGTGCTTCGTCCTCATATTTTGATAACCACATTGCTGTCCTTTGTGATTGCATGTTCATGATCAACATTCCAGTTTTCCACTTCCTTGTTAGTCATGCTTTTTCAGTTATTGGTTCTTTTACTTTTACTTTAGTTCAAATGTTTAATTTCTGTGTTTGTTTGTGAACAAATGACTCTGTATTTTAGTCGCTAATTGTGGGTGTCCAGTGATTTTGATAATCTAAATGTAAATCTTTTCTCGGTGTCCAGTGATTTGTTTGTGTACTTTGACTTCAGTTGTTGTATGTTCCACAATTGGACTGAATTCGGGATGGAGCTGCGGACCCATACCTTGGCAGGGCAACCTGGATGGCAGCTGTTGGGGTAACAAATTTAACGATTTTCCTTCACTTGTATACAACCAGGTGGTAGCCATGGCATTGCTCTTTCCTCCTGGTATTGACTGGGCTGCAACTTGACACCATACTTTTACCTCTTGGGACTTCGCCATTATGGCTTTTATATTCATTGAGCAATCTCCCAAGGAGCATCAAGTAAGGAAAACAAAATTTTGATTCATATGCGAGAAATGGATTGAGAATTTGAGTCTCAAATGGTGTAGGACGAACGGGGTTTTCTACCCTGCATCCTATTCCTATTTTTGTCTCTAATCAGTGGTTAGAATTTTTGTGGATTTATCAGACATAAATTTTATGCCTGCTTGTATAGATGACTGTTAGTGATTCTTGTAGAATTAATATTCTCTGTGTTTGGCATGAATTTTTTTGGCTCATTTGGAGCGTATGCACCAGGAATATCAGTGTTGTTGTCCATCTTTTCCTAAGCAATTTTTTATTTGTTGCATTAGATTTGTCAGAATTGCTTAATTTGCTGTTTGCAGGTTTGCTTTAATTAACAGATTAATTGCCTCACTGGTTTTCTTTACACCTGAAAATTTTATAGATTTTATAGATTCCTGATACCTTTCATCTTGCATTTGGTTGTACAACCTGATATGAACGATATCATGGTGTGGAATGCTTCCGCTAATGGCTGTTTCATGACTAAATCAGCTTATGAATTGGTGAGAAAGCGGCGGAATACTTCTGATGTGTCCGTGTAATATGGAATTCTTCCTTGCCACTGAAAATGTCATTCCTGGGATGGAGGGTGATGAATGGTTTGCTGCCGGTGGATGTGTTGCTCCAGAAATGTCGCCTGCCAGTCCTAGGAAAGCAACAGGCATTTGTTTTTTGAGGTGCAAGTGGCCCATCATGTATGGCTGCATTATGCTCGTGCCTTTGCAATTTCTTTAGCTACTCATACTTGTTTATCTTCAATTATAATGCAGTGGGTTTTGTTTTATGGGACTCATTATTGTGTGGTGTCTATGGCGCGCAAGGAATGAGCACAGGTTTCAAGCGTGTCCCATGGTTCTAGCCAAAGTAATCTTCAGAATTAACAGGTTCCTTGCTTTATTTGGAGCTGCGACTGTTGTCAAAAAATCGCTCCTGGATGGAGGGGGATGAAGACTCGCTTCTAGCTTCATTCTTCCGAGGTAAACAACAGCCAAGGAAGCAGCTTCTTAAATGAAGTTTGGTGACATTGAAGTATAAGAGGCAGAAGCAAATGCTTTGGCAACGGGTTTGCAGCTGTGTATTGACGGAGGAGAACAAAGGGTCTGCGCAGAAGTGGATTCACATCTATTATATCAGCTCATCGGTTCCAACAAGGTGTCCAAATGGCCTCTATGCAATATATTAGCAAAGATACGGGTCCAAATGAGCTGATGAAGACTGCTGATTCTGTATTAAGTGAATGTTTTACATGAATCTATAATGTTACTCAACTGGCCGGCTATGTTATTACGAGTGTTGACCTTTGTTTCATGGTAAATAAACAAGGGAAAAAAATGGAACCTGAAAAGAGGAAAGGCAGACTAAAGCTTCAACAAAAGCTAGAAACGATGTACATCAAGCTGAGGACTTTCATTGGATGTATATTCCATCAAGTACAAGAATTCAACACCAAAAAATGTGTGCAAAAACATGGTGCACCGCTACATTCTAAAGTAATGTGATACACTATCCTTGAGATTGCAGTTTGTCAAGTTTGTTGTCTCAATTAGCTGCATATTTTATTTCTTGATGCCAAAAATACTTAGGAAAGAGAATATAGTACATATTTGTGTTTAAGAATCATCCAAGAGCATTATATTCCTCTAGACATGAACTTTTATTGCCCCTTTGCAATTTAGGTATCTTGAATTACAGACTTTAGACAACCTAGATAAAATTGTAACTATATATAAAAATGAAAGTAACAAGAAACTTTTCTATTTTTTTGACACAACCCATTGGGCATTGGCATGGCCAAAAAAATTATAGTACTAATACAACTTCACAGCCTAATTTTTTTTTTAATATTCAAAAAATTTTCAAATTATATTTTAAAAACTCTACTACTTTTAAATATTTCAAAATATTTTTTAAAAATATTTCAAAATATACTCTAAAAACTCTGTTATAATAAATTTTTTTAAAAAGATTCCTAAAATCACCTAATCCAAACGGAGCCAACTTCTCTTCTCACCTTCAATTCGTAGATATACTAGAGTAGGGCTGCAAACGAATCGAGCCGCTCCCGAGCGGCTCGAGTCAAGCTCGAGTCGAGCTCGAGCCGGCTCGAGTCAAACTCGAACTCGAGCTCGAGCTCAGAATATTAAGCTCGTTAGCTCGCGAGCCGGCTCGCGAGCTTGGGTATATATATATATATATATTTTTTTTTTATTTAATAATAAAATTACGTATATTATATATATATTTTTTTTATTTTTTATTTTCATAGTAAAATTACGTATATATCCTTAATATTTTATTATTTATTAAGAAAAAAATATTATTTTATTTATTTTTTTAAAAATAAAATAATTATTTTTTATTTTTTTTCGAACTCGAGCTCGAGCTCGAGCTCGGCTCGACTTGATTCGAGTCGAGCTCGAGCTCGAAATTTGCCGGCTCGTCGAGCTCGAGCTCGAGCTCGAGCTTGGTAAAATTTAGTCGAGACTCGGCTCGATTAGCTCAAAACTCGACTCGACTCGGCTCGTTTGCAGCCCTATACTAGAGTAACAAAAATTTCCATTGCTATCAAAGCCGGAACTCAAAATGAGAAGAATGAATAGTTCCCTGTACCCATGCAGATGTGACAAAGAGATCAGGTGATAAAAGGACAAGAATTGTCGCATCAGAGTGCAAGTGTCACTCAACGACACTAATAAAACAAGAAAAAGAATGCAATCTTCACGCACCCGTGATGGAAACGTACAAAGATCTGTGGGGCTCAATATATTTACTCCAAAATTGTGCATCCCCAAGGATGTACAAGTGAACTCTTTTTTATTCATCAAATTTGCATAAACCATTTTTTGTAGCCTAAGAAAAGTTCACGGACAAGGGACACGGACGGTTGCAGGTGCAACTATCCCCAACGATTTTGATCATTTTCAACAGCGCGTAACTTTAGTTATACACGGCGTAACTTTGTTTGCATAACATGTAACTTTAGTATAAAATTTTATCTGCTCCACACACGATGTGAAAATCGATACACAATTTGTTATCTAGATCGTACAAAATTTTTTGATCAAATCATGGTCATTAACTGCTGACCGTCCCTGCCCCATTTCCAAAGTTCACACTAGGATGTTCAAGTATGAGATAACCTTAAATGAAGAGAGATGGTTTATTCGGACCTACTTATCGTCAATTTTGATTCACGTGTTCCAACCCGTTGGCACAAAAATATCAAGCAAAGTGAAAATTATTTTAACTATTTAATATAAATTATCACCAGACCAAACTTGCACTCTCTCTTCCCGAATCGTCCTGACCCATACCTTCCCCCTCCTCCAAATGTCTTTTTTTTTCTTTTTCTTTTTTTATGTCATTAGAAGCAACTTCTAATCTACTTCTACATCAACCTAGATTATGGGAGAAGAAAAGTCTAAAGAAACATATCAGAGGTGTGGGATGAATCACTAGATTAGATAAGCTCACTACTGTACTCTCTGATTTTTTTTTAAAAAAAAACAAGGAAGCTACACACTTCCTTGTAATGTATTAGGTGGGGTTTGAATCTTTAATCTAGTGCACAAGAGAGCTTAAAAAGGCTTTTCCTAGTTATTGGACCAAGATCCAAATTCTCCAAATGACTTGATTGCTTTCAATGATAAAAGATAATACGGTAATATGTCGAGATGCAATTCATATACATTGTTTTAGTTGTTTATGCTTAAACAAAATTAGTAATTAGTAAATATAAATTCGCATACTATATACACACTTTCAGCATATGCTTGCAAGTTAGTTACATATTTTGGGACGGACTGGTCCTAAAATTCTGTAAAACATGGAACGCATAGGACGGACTGGTACCAAAATTCTGTGGAAGGACGGACGGACTGGTACTAAGTCAAAAATTTATTGAGGCATAAGAATTGTAAATCTTTTAACACCATCGTACTGAGGACGTTCTTTGTGGTATGTTAATTATTGTCAAACCATCGCCAAAGGGACACCTATCTTATAACCTATTACTAACATTTAAATTGCTTAAGTTTTCCAACATCAAGTTTGAATTGGATATGCTTAGGATACATAATGTCTAGCAGCTTTAGTCGTTGTTTTGATTGAGAAATTGTCCCCTAAGCCTAATTTCTTCCTAAATTTGTTATCTATTACGATAATATTGAGTAATTTTCACTCTCAAAGCATATCATCTTTAAGTGCTAGAAAGTCTAATAGGAGAGTAATGAGATGCCATTATTACAATCTTTCCACAGAATAATCCCTTACTAATTTCAAAAGACCCAAAACAACTACTCTTGCAATGGGAGGGTTTGTTTGTGACTAGCAACCAAGACTTGAACATTTGACTAAGTTACCCAACCTAAATTACTTGACTGCAATCCATTGTGAAACTAGATTAGCCAAAAGATAAATTAGTCATCGTCCAATATATGGACGGCCAATATAAAAAATTTTCAATACTAAGTACTTACAGTACTTTTGTAATTCTTTTATGATGTTTTGCTCAAATATTTCTCTCCCATGGTCAAGATAAAGTAGCCATCCTTCATGGCAATGGTCATTATAAACTCTATTTAGCAGTGAGTACTTTCACTTTTAATGTTGTTTCATTAAAATAATTAATCGGGTGGGATGCAATTTCTATAGCAGAAGTAATATAATAATGTTGTTTCATGATTGTTTTATTATATGTGCGGGCAGTGATAAGTGCATATTTTGTGTTTTTATTATTTAGTTTTGGTGTGTTTTACTTATTTTTGTAGCTAATTAACTAGGTTTCTAGTGAAAATTGATATTTTGTAGTTTTAGTGTCAAAAATTGCATTTATATGGATTTTATTGGTTAAAACTTTATATTTTTGTATGTTTAATGATTCAATCATCAAATGGAGTAACTTGAAAAGATAATTGGATGATTGTTGATGATTTGAAATAATTTAAAAAGAATATGAAGTGCAAAATATTCAAGAGACGCAATGCAATTAAATATAAATAAAAGGGAGTTTGACAGGTTTGACACTTATTCGTATTTCAACTATATCATGAGTTACATACATTAGATTTAGGTGATTCTTAAGCCATTTTGAAACTAATACATAACTATATATTTCTTATAAGATATCGAAATCTAGTTCATAAGATCTCCTAGTCAAAATGTAGAAATATAGTCGGCCATTTCTGTTGTTAAAAGCTAAAACAGAAGATTGACTAGTTAAGGGTATATTGGTCATTTAGCAGTCTACAGAGCTCCAAATTAGATGATTTGTAGTCATTGGAAGGCTAACACAAAGCTCTACAACCTTTATGTTTTATACAAGAACTAGTTCAGCCTCTATCATCAAGAAAATATCAGTTAAAGTTGGTACAAAAACAAAGCAAAATTAAAGACTGACCAGAAATGAGAAAACCTGCAAAAATGAGCCTGCATTTTCTTCAATTGCGGTTGCTACTTAGTCTGCAACTTGTGCTTTGTTCATACAAGTTTTTTGATCCATTTTTCTGCAAGAATTCCAACTAGATATGAGCAAGCAAGTATAGAAACAACCTTTGGATATTCAAGAGGCAACTTTGCCAACTAGAAACAACTCATCTCGATCTTTAATTCCTCTATAAATAGGGTCTTTGGAGAGCTTGTTTGAGGGGTTGAACCTCATGTGACAAGGATTATCTCTTTTCCAACTCTTTATCTTTTGTATTGGATTCTTAAATATGGTTAAAATGCAAGTTTTGGATTTGTATTTCCATATGTGTTTCTAAGGTTTATGCCTTGGATTTTGATTCAATTTTCTATGTTGTATTATGTTGATTTCTTGGTTATTTGATGAAATTATTTTGATAAGTTATTTAACACTTTTGTTCCTCTAAATCATGATTAACTTGGTACCATTAATTGCGATTATCTAAAGGTGTTGTTTTTTCAATAAAAATCGAAATTTTACACTTGTTCAAAAAGTGCTAAATCTAGAGAGTACACTCACGAAAGTAAATGTGCACCTTTGTGATTTTAGTGATTCATTTCATGTAATTTGATAGAGGTAATTAACTTGTAACTAATTTCACAACCATGAGAGTAGGTATGGTTAGTTATAAATATAGTTGATTCACTATGAGAGTAGGTTTTATATGTGTAAGGAAATTACGCTATAACTAGTCAAGATAGTAGTACTCAATTATTTAAAAATTACACTTGCATGAGTAATGAGGGATACCATGACCTAAGTAGTTTTCATTTGCTTTTTTTTTATATAAAATTTAACTTAGTTTTGTTTTTTTTTTAATTTGTTGATTGTCTAAATAATAGAAAAGTTTTAGTAGTGCCGGTAATTGACATTCTTAGGAGCCCGTTTAAATTATAATTCCACCAATTCTTAGAAGAGTTTCAACCGCCTACTCCTCTCTAATTCTTTAACTGCATCGCTTGATGATTTCGTACCTACAACCGGTTCTGTCTATCCTGTTTCGACAATATCCCAAATTCCAATAACTTTGAAAAAAAAAATCTCCATCA